CCCCAAAACCCCAAAACCCCAAAACCCCATTGATTAGGAATTTAGGCCAATAGAAGAAATTCATTATTTAAAACATTTGAAATTTAAATTGTGAATTAAAGCCTGCTTATTAGTATTTATAAAAGTTAACCAATATGATAAAGACTGACTATATTTAAAATCCAGGAGAGGGAACCAAGTACCTCGTGCAAAAGTACAACGACATCCTCGTTGAAACTATTTTAAAAGACACATCTGCTTTTGACTTAAAGCCACACTTGAAAGCTAAGAGCTTGCAACAGCTCTATACTTTGATAATATGTGTTGAGGATGGCATCAAACCTCATGTCGAGAAGATTCTTAGAAGCATAGTATATAAATTGATCTTGGATGAGGAGCCTGATATCAGTTCAAGAGCCTATAAGATAGCAGAGTTGATTGGTCTATATGTACAGACTGACTATGTTCTGCCCATGATGATTTCTCACTTGACTGACACTGAGAGCAAGAGTGTGCCAAGATTTGTCTCGAGTTGTTTGACCGCTTTTTCTGCTGTCTTGATCCATTCTTCTGTCAGATTTTCAGACTAGTTACAATCATTTATGGCTAACTTGATAAAGTTAATTGTCTCCTCTGATTTCTTGTAAAGTGATAATGTCGATGTACTAGATAGAACACTAAGAGTCACTGCTAATCTCATTCATACAGCTGGTCCACTTTGCAAATAACATTAACACTCATTATTTAAGATCCTATTACAACTTGGTTCGATACCAAATATGGCATCTCATAGAGCAGCAGTTGATGAAACTCTTCATAAACTAGCTAAGAATTGTGGCCTAGATGAAGGTGGGGATCTCTTCTCTGTGGAGCTATCAGAACTTATTGAAGAAATGTAAGAGTCCTATGAGAACTGGGATAAGCATACTCCTGAGAGATTCATTTTTGATCTTCTAGTTAGAAGAGCAAACACTGCACTTATTGATAAATTTGAAGATATACTCTAAATTATTGCAGCTAATGTTGAAAATGATAAGGAATATGAGTTGAGAATGGATATGCTTGCGTTGGTTGAATTCCTATTGTAAGCCGAGTAGCTTCAATCAAATATAGTATTCTACAGTCAAATCGTGCTCAAGATGATTTTAATTCCATCCACACAGTGGAAAGTCGGCAAGCCAAACATCAAGATTAGAAAAGCTGCAGTCATTTGCATGATTAGACTTTTGGAATTTAAACTTATCGACAAGGAGAAGCTTTACTCCTCATTTAAAGACATTATGAATGTTCTCAAGAATTGTATTGATGACGATTGGGCTAATGATTTAAGATTCGCTTCTGTGGTTTTGATAAAGAAAATGATTGAGTATATGAATGAGGTCTTTGATGAAGAGGACTATAAAGAGATTTATCCAGAGCTTTTAAAGAGACTAGATGATTCTCAAGATTCTATTAGAATCGAAACAGCTAATACATTCAAGGTCTTCTTTACTTACTTGCCAGATCCATGGAGTTCATCTCTTTACGAGTACACTGTGAAGAACATCTTTATTCATTTAGACGACTAGAACTAGGAGATATAGACAGCAATTATGAGAGTGTTGGAGTTAGCAGCTAGAGTGCAAACTGATAAGTTCCTTGAAATTGCAAATGACCAGATGCAGAAGTTTTCACATCCAGTCCTATGCAAGAATCTTATTGAGTATGTTAAGGAGACTTATAAGAAATGATTTCTTTGAGGTAATAATGGAGAATTTATGATGTGAGTATTTAGATTTGTATACTTGCTGCTATTTCTTTATCACTTTAGATTTTACTTATCCTCATAACTAGGGGTTTTGGGGTTTTGGGG